CTATCTATCTATCTATCTATCTATCTATCTATCTATCTATCTATCTATCTATCTAACTATAAGGGTTCAGCCCCGATGTTATATCTTACTTTTATCCAGATTCAGCAGATTATCAAAGTTTTCGTATTGGCGTAATACCTCTTTCCATATTGTAAGGCTATTAAGGACGTAGTTTCTAAAAAAAAGTATAACAGTCTACATTAAGACTGAGCCACAAGGACGAAGAGCTTTGAAACCCTCTTCCCCCTAAACAATCCAAGTTTAAGAAAGCTACATCGAAGAATTGAACTTGAGTCCACCGCCCCATCGCCAAGCATGATACCAGATGAGCTAACTATGTCGTTGAATTACTCGAAGACAAGGGGGCCACTAAACAGAATATTAAGACTTATGTAGAGTTGTAAGTTGTATGTAGAGCATTTGATTTTTCGGCCACGGTAGGGCTTTGAAATAAAACAAAAAGGTATAAACGAGGTAAGTAAGTATAGACGGACCAAATGCTGTAAGAGAGGGGGATTGTGAGAAGGACAAAACCACAAGACGTATGTTATCATAAACATATTGGCGGAAGATAAGTTCTCGAAAAGGATTCAAGAACACACACACAGACACAAACACAAACACACACACATACACACACATACACACACACAAGGAGAGGAAGAAGTAAGAGGAAAACGAGTAAAAGGAAGAAACCATGAAGGGCATTGCTAAACATGAGCACAATCTCATGTTTCAGTTCACTTGTTTATCGATTTTATCTGTGGAAAATTCAAATGGACTAAGATGGAGATATTACTCAACTACAGTTAAGTGCCTTAGTTGTCGGTTCACAAATCAATGTCCTAGAAGTTATCTCAAACATTGGGACTTTTGCCGTGTTCCGGCTTCGTAATAGAGCCATTGCCGCCTCGATAACATTTTTACTGGCTCAGTGTATTTACTCCGGATTCGTGCAATGACCGTGCGTCAGAAAGTACATTGACAGCACGAACAACAGTGTTTACGCACACTTTGGAACATGAGTTGAACACAACTTGACGTCAATGAATATTTCCCGTGAGCAGGCACACAAAAAAATGTAGATCTATGTACTTTAAGACCACAATAAAATTGCAGTCTTTCTGAAAGTGATTAGTTGGTTCATACATTTGCAAGAGATGCGCATAAGGGGAAAGAAATGACCAAAGACACTTTGAAATTATTCATAAAAGTTTACGTGATCATAAGAATGGATGATTTCATAAATAAGCAAACACTAAAAAAGTAAACACGCAGTAAATAAATAAATACAAAAATGAATGAATAAATAAATAAGTAAATATTATATAGATGAATCAGACGAGAAATTCCGAGGAATCCATGCAGGATTCCGCAAGAACCAATCATGTGTGGACCCGATCGCTACTCTGCGCATCAATGTTGAGCAATCGCTTTAATGGAATTCACCACTCGCGGTCAACTTCATTGAATTTTAAAAGGCATTTGACAACGGAGACAGGAAAACTTTGAAAACTCATACGGCATTATGGAATACTTGAGAAAATCGCCAAGCTTGTGAAGGCAACCTATGATGAAACAAACTGCCAAGTCCTCCACGAAGGACAACTCTTAGAACCATTCCTGGTACAGACAGAAGTGCGACAAGGATGCTTGCTCTCACCTTTTCTCTTCATACTGGCAATTGACTGGTTTATGAAAGAAGCCACCAGAGTCGAACACAATGGAATACTGTAGATCCCTTGGCAGCAGCTGGACGACTTGGACTTCGTCGATGACCGCGCACTGCTCTCTCACACATATGCTCAAATGCAAGAAAAGACCAAGGAACTCAACAGCCTATCAAGGAGTGTTGGTCTACAAATACATCCGGGCAATTCGAAAGTAGTAATGCTAGGAAGAGTTTCAAGCCCTGCTGTGACAGTGGAAGACACTCTCCTGGAAGAAGTGGCCTCCTTTACCTACCTTGGAAGTGTCATCGATGGTAAAGGTGGAACTGAGGCAGAGGTAAAATCAATAACCGCCAAAGCATTGTTAGGATTCAATCAGTTATCAAAAGTCTGGAAAGCAAGCAATAACTCACTGCGCACCAGGATTCTACCCTTTAACTCCAATGTCAAGTCTGTGCTCCTCTACGGCTGTGAAACTTGGAAGACAACAAAGACAGTACTGAATACATCAACAGATGTATGAAGAGTATCCTAAGAATTAAATGGCAGGATAGAATAAGAAATGAGGAGCTGCGGGAAAGGACAGGACCAAAGGATATAGAAGTAGAAATAGGACTAAGAAAGTAGCGATGGATGAGACACACCTTCAGAAAGCCCAGGGGAAACATCACAAGACAGTCGCTGCAGTGGAACCCACAGGGAGCGCGAGGCAAGGGTAGGCCACAGGAAACATGGAGGAGACGTGTGGAAATGATAATGAGAGAAATGAAGCTCACTTGGAACGGACTTGGCAGTATGGCCAAGAACAGAGGTAAATGGAAGGAACTTGCATGAGCTTATACCGTGCCAGGGGTGGAAGGCATTGTTGATAATGGTGACGGTGATAATGATATAGATAAATAGATAAATAAATAAATAGATAAATAGATACCTAATAAATGAAAGAATGAATAAACAAACAAATAAACAAATAAACATTTGAACAAATGAAAAAAGGAAGGAATAAATACATTTAAAAAATAAAAAATAAATGCACAATTGACTTAATAGACGAACAAATAGAAAAAAGGAATAAACGAATGAACAGATAAATGAATAAAAATAGATATAAAAACAAATAAATAAATAAATAAAAAGTAAATACATAAATAAATAAATTTCTTGGGTTGCAACCCTGTTTTACTTCTTTCAAGATTCCCAAGCAGGCAAGGACACATCAATAGACCGGCATATTGCCTTGTCCTTGTATAATTACTGATGTCCTTTGGAACCATTCACCAATGTACTCCACCTTCTCCCATTCACACATACACACACACACACACACACACACACACACACACATACACACACACACACACACACTCACACACACGCACACATACACCCACACTCACACACACACACACACACACATATACATATATATATATATATATACACACACACACACATTAAATGTAATTTAGATAATGGTATATACATTTATGTCGTCGTTTTTATTCAAATACCGGCTACATGCAGAAAGGCAACTTGTACAAAAAGGACAGAAAACTGACTATTGCTAAAACGCGTAGCGTAATCTTCAGAATGACAAGTTCGATTGTTCGTATAATCCTGAAATTTTTGGTGTTACAGAGATTTCACGTGGTAAACATTGGGTTTGAGTGTGTTGACTACGTTTTATGGACTGCTGGGCTGACAAATAGGTGGTGGACTTCTTCAACCCTAGCCCTAGCCCCTAGCCCCAGCCCTAGCCCTTTTTCGATATCTGTAATGCCGAGTCAATTTTCGATACCGTAAATGCCTCTCCATTACTCGATACCTCCTTGCCTTGATAATACTCGATACCCCCTGTAATTATTCGATACTTCCTTGCCCATTTATACTATTCGATACCTAAAACCTTGCCAGATCAGTATTAATTCATTCATTCCTATCTTTCATTACTCGATACCCTCTAAAGCTTGGTACATCCTTTTCGGCCATTTATTGATACCACCTTTTTTTGGTCAGTATTCCATACCACATTTACCTAAACATTCTGTTCCTTTCTGTCTCCCTAGCTATCGTTGCCTGATATATTCTTTGCCTGATCATAATCGATACCTATCCGGTGATTAGTCGATTCAGGTTTGTTATTAATCGATTCCCTTCATCTGGTCTTTATTTGTTAAACCTCCACGACTGCTTACCTTTAATAACTAAATGAGAACAATTTGAAACTTGCAGTATTATTATCATTGTATGGTTAGGGTTATGGTTTTAACCGTTTAAGACCAAAGATTGGCGGCATATATGACCTTATGCAGTTGCGAATGCCGTAAAATCTGTACAAGAATTAAGATCAAAGATTCGATTTTTTGTTCATTGGTATTTTTGCTTTTTGATATTTTTTAATTTTCCCCACTTTAATGAACTTTGAACTAGCAGACTAGCAGAATGCCGATATAGTGGCGAGGACAAGACGTGAAGTGAAGTGACAAGGGGCCACCTAACATGTCGTATTCATTTATCGAGAATCTCAATTTGTTTATATAGTCGTTGTACTAACAATTAGATTATATTATGGTTATGCTTATAATTTGTTTTTTTCTGTCATTTTGTTCATTTCGAAAAATGTGTGTGCTTTCTAAGGGCTTACTAAGGTTTGAAACATTTCCTGATATTTCAACATTTAAAAGTTTAGCTAGATTTGTCTTTCACTTATTAAAGCGGCTTTTCTGTTTTCCTATTTACTGTTGTTTAACAAGACTTTTTAAGGTAATTGTTTCCCATTACTCAAGCAGTTATTTCAGGTTGCTGTTACCAGCTCCATAAAAGAGGACTCCTCTAGTATTGTGACTGAGTGTTCTTCCTTCAAAATCAACTGTGTTTTGTTTCTAATTAAGTCTTAAACATTTTACTTGTGAGGTGATGTTACGTTAAAAAACAACTAAACTTTTAGGCCAAACGATCGGTTAATATGAAACAAGGGCTGGAGATGAAGGGAAATGACTGAGGAAATGGCTTTTGGGAGAATACTTTACAAAGATTTATGGAACCTGGAGCGTTATCCAAGTATTCCATATTACATGAGAACTCTCTGTCTCTCCTGCCTATTCTCCGCTGCTTTCTCTCTCTGTCTTTCTCTCTCTATCTTTCTCTCTTTCTATCTCTGTCTTTCTCCCTCTGTTTTCTCTCTCTGTCCAACTCTCTCTCTCTCTCTCTTTCTCTCTCTCTCTCTCTCTCTCGCTCTCTCTCCCCCCTCTCTCTCTTTCTGCCACCTCTCTCTCTCTCTCTCTCT